AGATTTTAGTATTATACCTTACTACTAATTTACTTAATTTAAAAGTAAATATAAAAAAAACACTGTTAAACATCAATTTTTATGTGTCATGTGGTATGTTGAATGCAGCACTGATTCAAATTAAATGTTTTGATGTCAGAATACTAAGTCTATAATTTTGTAAGAATTAGGAACTCAAATTACAGATATTGACAAGCTAGAATATATAATAAGAAGGTCTTATCTTTTCAATTTGCTAAGATATTGCTCAAGAAGGTAGGTTGTGTCTTTAGTCTGCTCAAAATTCATATTTTTTTAGACTGAAATACAGCTTAGTTACTAAGCTTGATAAATTATAGTGGAAGTGTATAATATTGATATAGTAATTTATGATTTTTTGGTTATTCAACTGTATATATAAAACCAAAAAAAATTATTTCATTTCATATCCTCCATGTGCAAAATTTTAAAAGGCTTAGCAACCTACATCAATCAACAACCGAGTACAAAGGTCTTAATTAGAAGAGATAATTGTTTGCTTTACTTCTTTATTTACTGTTCTATGTTTTAAGAAAAATAAGTTTTAATAACTTATTTCTGAATAGCAATAATCTATATACATATATAATGTATAATAATTAAAATATGACTGTATTTTACAAAATACTAGTCTACTAAAACACAACCAAGACAGGTCAATTTGTAAAGACTAAAGGTCACCTTTATGTTATTGGATACGGTAACATGAGTGCACGTGCGCCACGTCATTGTAACTTTTGTATTGTTAACCAGGCATGGATGAAAGGTCAATATAATAAAAATATTAAATACATAAATGTATAATGTTATGATATTTAAGTTATTTAGTCTAAACATTTATGTTTTTATGTAATCATTCTAGAATGAAAAAGGCATAGTTTATATTTATTCCCAACTTTTTTAATGTGGTTACAAGATTGGTCAAATCGACCAAACCCATTCAGAGATCCATTACTGAAAATAACAGGTAAAATGTAAAGTTTTTTCCTTAGAAACATTTGATAACTATCTGGACATTTTGCATGTGAAATTTGAAAATTTTGTGATGCACAATCTTAAAATCTTTTAATCTTAAAATGAAAATTACTTTGCATGTTGGATAGGCAGTATTGAACTCTAATTCATCAGTAATAAAAATGCTTCTAACAACATTGTGTCTTATTTGTTGTACTTTGTGTTTAAATATGTAGTCTGTTTTTGAAGAATTGAGAAATTTTAAATTGTAATTTGGGTGAATTTTTCAATACTTGTCTGACTGTTTATTCTCTCAAGTTAATATCAGATTTAAGAAGGTTTATGACCAGCCAATTTATGAATGATTCCTTGATTTATTGAAATTACAAGCTCAACATTTAAAATTTCATACCATTTTTATTGTTCATTGGAGTATTTGGTGAAATATTAAAATAATATAATATGTAATCCTTTTTAAGAAAAAGATGTAAATGCTTGTAATGGCTAGTATACATATTATTTTTATGAAAATTAAAAGAATTTAATTAATTTTTTCTTTAAGGTGGTAATCACAAGTGATGAAAATGGCCAGCTTTGTAGTTCTTGTGTGTGGGATGTAGACACTGGAGCAACTCTTGCATCGTATAAAGGTGCAACATGTGCCACTCGCACTTTGAATATGATTGGTAATGAGTTCTTGATTGGTGCCCAAAAAGATAAGCCTCTTCTTCATGTCTGGGCATTACATAAAAAGGTATATACTTTGATTGTACATATTTTAACTACTGTAACAACAGAAGTTAAGCTAATCTTAATGTAATGGTGACACGTACCATGAAAGTATACAAAACATCATTATGTTAAATTGTTTAGGACCACACCACAAGTAGAGTTTCTTCAGTGCTGTGGCACTTCTTGATGTTCAGCAAAATTGTATGGGGCTTCAAGATGTTCAATAAGTTTGTAAGATTTGTATTGTTTTGAATAATTTTAGTAGGTTGATTTCAAGACATGAAGAATATCTCAATGGACTATTATTAGTTTTAGTTGACAGTAATATTATAAAAAAAAACATTTTCAAAGAACTGTTGATATCCATAAACCATTTACTCTTAGTATGTACAATGATAATTGCTTCTTTTAGTTAGTAGATAGAACAACACAAGTTACATGTAATTACTACTTTAACAAACCAACCCCTTCTTCAAGACATCAATCTCCTCTTGTTACTCTTGTTGCTGAAAGTTCATCAAATTTGAGTTTATGAAAAATTCTGTGAGAATGCAAATAATGTTACACCTACTGATACTCAGATACACACTATGATCACTTCGAGCCTTCAACTAGAAGTCTGCCTGGACCTGGCTGCAGGACTCGGCCCAACCTGGCTCATGAGCTGGGTCAGGCGTGAATGAGATGACTTTTGTCAAACTTATTTGTAAAAATTTGGGCTTCCTGGGCTTTTTGCTCAATTTTTCAGCTTTTTAAACTTCACGAAAATACATACACAGCTGGGACCAAATGTTACTTATCTGGCAGTTTTATAATTTTTATACTTGGTATAAAAGGCACTGCTTTAAGGAATTTTGTTGTCTTGCAGATACTATCTCATGCCTCTTTTGTATCAATTGTTGAAATGGTCATATTAAGTAACAACCATAATGGTGATAAGTAAACATATTAGTAAGTCTAAGGCAGCGACAATGAAAGCCATTTTAGGTTTTATTGTTGTGTAGTTGTGTCTTCAGATTGGAAGAAGCATTGTCATATGCCAAAGAGTATGGAGCATATTCAAATTCACAGTGGTTTTCAATCAAAAGTGAAGAATGAGAAAACATTAGTTGCAAATACACTTTAAAAGTTAACTTTTCCATTTTTAGATATTGTTAGTTACATGAATTATTTGATCTTTGTGCATGTATAATAAATTTCAAATTTTAACTCATAATTTGGCCTGATGATTTTGAATGGTAATAATTAAAAGGCTTATTAGTAGTGGTTACTGATTACAGTTAATAAACAGAAACATTAGGAGTCTTAAATTATGTTTGCCCACAAAGCCTAAATCAGGCTCTGGTAACATGTGATATTTCAGTTTCTAGCTGCTCTCTGTTAAGTAAATAAGTATGTACTTCATAGCAATGGATATAATACCAGGTGCATGAGCCATGAGGTGTTACACTCCATAGCTTTAGTTAATTTTATCCCTACAACAATGCTAGCATTTAACTCCACATTTAGATAATAATGCACGAAACAAAGTGGTTTGTCTTTTATCAACTTTTGCTAGAATACTAAGTCCTTTACACATTATTATCAATTTTGTAAACCATTCAAAATATATGTCATTTTGTATAATTCATTCCACTGTGGTAGGTGGTGCTATTGTTTGCTTAATTTACATTGTTGTCGTGATAGTGTTTTTTGGCATTTTATTTTAAATGTTGGCTGCTCTGATTGGAAATTTTGATAGAGGAGCTTGGGTCCACACAAAGTTGAGTTTTAAAGGTGAGCATGCAAGTTGATTGAAATAGTTTAAGGATATACAAAGAAAGGAGTTAAAGAATGGAGTTTTTAAACTTTACTTCAGCAACCTATTAAACATAAATTAAAAGTACTATGTAGCCCTTATAATGAAATTTGGCAATATTAAAGCAAAACTGAAAAGTTGTAAGTATGTTCTATTAGTAAAAAACAATGTTAAAAGTGATGTGTGAAAAGCTTTTTATGAAGTGTGGGTTATAACAACAAAGGAGAAAGTTGGTGCCATTCAGTGTTTAAAATGTAAATCAATTTGAACTATTCGGCATCTAAAAATGAAAATTCACACTGAAAACGTTTTACACCTATCATAATCTCGTGTACCACAACAAATGAAGGAAGAGGTGATTAAAATATGTTTCAAGGACAATAGACCATATGATATTGTTATTAGGGCTGAATTTTTGGAGTATTCTCAAAATCTAATTAAATTAGGCTCAATTAATGGAAATTTAAATGTGAAAAATTTGTTACCATATTCTACAACCATTTCTTGTAATCCACAGAAAGAAGTTTAAGAACTTGTACAAGTTATTTGTTCCAAGTATCAAAACTAGTTGATTTAAGGTAGTGTGATGCATTTGTTAATATGTGGACTGATGATTACAAAAATTTCTTACACTACACTAACTATGCACTGTGTTGATGAAGACTGGAAGCTTTGGGTAAAAATACTTTTTATGTGTAAGTGTCTGTATGAAAAAAAATTGGCTACAACATAAGAAAAGAGGTAGAGAAAAGACTTGTCAACTTGGGCTTCAAACCGAATATTCTATAAAAACTTATTTTTTTTTACTGACCAGGGAGTTAATGTTGTATGTGTCCTTAATTTTTTAATCAGATTAAACTGCATTTCATATATAATCAGTAAAATCTTAAGAAACATTTTCCAAAAAAATGTATGGAAACAAATTTACCTTGCATACATTTATTAACAAATGAAGTTAAAGAGCTAATTACATATCTAAAACTATCTGGGCTTGTTTTTAGGGTTGTGAGTCATGCTGGTACAGCAGAATAAACATGTAGGAATCTGTTGATGCCAATTAAGAAGATATTAACAGCTTCTAATAGAACATCAGGAAGAAGAGAGAATGGTCCACATTCATTGAGAGAGACTAAAAACACTAATAAGTTATCCTAAACCCTTTAAAGAAGGTTTTTTTCAACTTGAGGGAGACACATACCAAGCCTACCACTGGTTGTATTAGTAAGAATTACCTTACTAAATCATCTTAATGTGGCAGATACTGACTCAGTTGATCTAGTTACATTGAAAAACAGAGGATGGATGGTTTTAAATGAGAAAGTTTTAGTGCATAAATTGCACAGAATCTCTCTGTTTTATGATCAAATTTCCAAGAAGAAACAATCAGAGATGTGTGAGATTTAATGGGGGAGTTTACATTAACTTATAACACAGTTAGTGAAAAATTCATTGACTTCAACACTTACCAGCTCTGCACCATCAGTAGTGCAAGGTGAGCATGTTGATCTTGAGAAGAATGCCAGCAGTAGCAATTACCCTATTGTGAAAAAGCCAAAGATTCTGGACTTCAGTATGTTCAAAGATTCACCTGCGAAGTCTGAAACTCAAGATGAGAGGTTTATGCATTTTGAGGTGGACCATATTAAACTGAATAATTTAATTGTATGGTGGGGAAAAGTCACAAGAAACAGTTGGCATATTTGTCAAGAATAGCCAAACATGTTCTCTCTGTGCAGCCACCAGTGCTAGTAGTGATGAACCAGTTTAAGCAGTGAAAGTGTAGACTCCATTCTGTCATTCTAGAATCACTACTGCCAGTATGGGGGACTGACCCTGACAATCCTGTCTGTTTATCCCATGCCCAGTTTTTCCGCCTTAATATTACATTTATGGCTCTCCTTCGGAACTTGTCCACCATGCATCTTCTTTTTGAGGCACTTCACCTATCTTCTGAGCAATTTTTGGGGATACCTTCTCCCTCTTTACCTCTGTGTTGTCATGATTGTCCTCCTTGGCTCTATCTCTTCACAAGTGTTTTTTTTGCTGTTTGGATCTTCTAGGTAGGGTGCTGTCTTGTCCCACGTTCGTTTACTGTCCACTTACCTTCTGGACTTGCAGATTGCTCCTTTTCTCCAAGGGTCGGTTTTTAGGAATATTCATGAAACTTTGGAATCACATGTAAAATCTGTGAGGCAACATTTGACCCTTTTGTCCTTGGTTGCTCGTTTGTCTCAATTAGGGGCCCTTTCAATCCCCTGTTCCTCCCACTAGGGGTTCCACATTTTCACTACCGATCATTGGGTTCTTCAGGTCTTATCAGAAGGACTTGTAATCCAATTCCTTTCCCCATCCTCATTGTCTCCTGTACCCATATCCTTTCCAGTACCTTGGGATCATACTACAAGTCAACATCTGTCAGAGGTGGTACAGACTTCTATCACAGAGAGCTATCGAGCCTGTTAGCCATCCATTCCCAGGCTTTTACTCAAGGTTGTTTATTTGTGGTCCTTAAGAAAACTGGGGACTCGTGTCCTGTGATCAATCTCTCCCACCTTAGTCAATTTCTGGATTTTCCCTATTTTACAGTGGGGTACCAATGCCTATCTAAACATTCCTATTTCTCCTCGGTGCAGATGCTATATTCAGGGTTGTGTAACAGTTTCACACCTTGCCCTTCAAGCTTGCTTCAGCTCCATATGTCTTTTCTCCAATGGTCAAAGTTTTTGGCTGATCTATGTATGCTCAGGGATTGTGCTTACACTACTACATGGATGACTGGCTTCTGTTAGCTCATTTTGAAATGGACTCTTCACATCACACTCCTCTCCTTCTGCCAGAAGCTGCTCAAGTGAGTTGAATTATCAAGATAGAGAAGTCTGTCCTGTTCTCTACTCAATATCTTGTCCACTTGGAGGTCTTTTTCAACTCCCATCTCAGTTAGGCCTAACCTTCTCCTCTTTGACTCCACACCCTTACTGCTTACATGGTTCTATCACTTTTGGGGACATGGACTTCTCTGGAAGCACTTTTTCCCTTGGATTGGACACATATGCAGTCTCATCAGTGGACTATGCATGACCAATGAAATCTTGCTTGAGATCCCTTGGATTCTTCCATTATCCTTCCCTTGTTGACGATTTGTGTTAGTGGTTGAACAAGGACCACACACATTATTGGGTGTACCACTTCATCCTCCTTGCCTGTATTTTCATCTCTTCTCTGAT